CTTCCAGGGAAGGAAACGCACCGTTTCCACTCTGGTTTTCAGTCGAACCATCCTACTCTTCAAAGACCTCACTCGCTGGAGGTTGTGGGTAGTGACCTGCGCAGAACCCAAAATTCAGTCCCTTTGGGCTAGCAAGGCAGCATGCAGCAGTCCGGTGCTACAACGGCAGCTCATCTGCCTACATCGTAGCCCAATTTTGGGAATCGTTTTCAACATGGACATCATGGAGTTGCCACGTGAGAGTTAATTCCAAAGTCGCAAAAGCGCACTCCACTACCTTGAAACTTCACGTGCACCGCACGCTTTTCTATTTGGACAAATTCAAACAACTTCGTTCCTTGCCCCAGCAAAAAAAGGACCAAATAACACTTTTTGCCAACACATATGAACGCATTTCATCAATGTACTGCACGCTAAGAACACGGAAATGACCCAAACCCGTAAATTATGTACATATGTGAGCACGCGTTATTTGGCTTGTTGTTTCCTAGTTTTACCTGGGGAAAATTGCCAAGCTGCTAGCTGCCATGAGGCACACAAGCAGGCAAGCAGCCATAAAAAAAACAAGCAGAAAAACAAGTTGTTGGCCCCACATCTACTCAGTCCCAATGTGGTATTCAGGCATTTGTTTCAGATTCCAACCAGTCTTTCGGTTTATCCTTCGCCCAACAGCAAAAACGCAATATAACAGAATCGGAACACATACCTGAAAAGTAAGGGCATCAAGGGCTGGGAAAGCCACGGCTTCCAGCTCAGTGGTCAGCTCATCAAGGGTGGAGCAAATCTGAGGACGGGAAATGTTGTCAGGGGATTTTTGCTGCGCGACGTGCGGATTGCACGCAAGGAAGCGCGTGTGCAACGGCCTCTCATGTGCTCCAGTACTTAGGATCTGATTATTTTCCTTTCATTCACTATTCCAGGTAACGTACAATAGTCAACCCTTCCGCATCAGAAATTTCGCCTTTATGTTTTTTTCTCTACGTTTTTGTTTTCAAGGCGTTATTTTGCTTTCTTTGCTGCTCCGCAAAAATGCCAAGCGTTCCATTATTATTATTTCTTAATTCTTTTTCACAAAATTATGGCCAAGCGCTACGTTACTATGATGAAGGGTTTAACAATTTACGACAGGGCAACGCACGGGAATGACATGGCACCGCCACACCGTACATCAATGTCCATTCACATGACCGAATGCCGTCTGTCGAGACCCGCGCCAAATGAGTCTCCACTTGTGTGCCTGTGCCAGGCCCAAAGTGACCTCCACCCTGTGCAGCGTGGAACTTTCCGTGCCTATTCTGTATGTGTGGGGTATTCATTCGAAGACTCCTCCATCTCCTAGTGTTGCATGTGAATGATCCTCAAACAGGTCTTGCCGCAATGACAAGGCTTCGCTCCATCAAGCACTCCATCTGTCAATTTTGCAGCCAGCTCACCCCCACCCCAAAACACACACACTGCTTTACTAACGACCCCTGCCTTTTGCTTTGGGGTTGACAGTACTTAGTGCTCGTGCTGCAGCAAGAAGACAGAAGGAGCAACACACGTTCCCAGCCTTCATGACAACCGAAACGGATACGATGAAACAGATACGTCGAATACGGCGACGAGCGTGGTGCTTCGGAAGCAAAACCTCCGCCACCCACCACCACCAGTTCTCTACCTTACATACGGGCCCCTGAGTGCATGTTTTCTTGGCTATTGCACTGCTTGCGTTATGTGCTCATCACTCCGCATCCCGTACATTATATCATCTTTTGACAGCATGGAAAAGAGTCTCGCGTACACTTGCTCGGGAGGGAGTGTCCTCTGTATGTACAGAGGCTCGCATATGACTCATACCATATACGCATATGACATACGCATATGTCATATATATGTCGTATGTCGTATGTCACATACGCATATGTCATATATACGTCATAAACGCATGTGTCGTGTGTCACATACGCATATGTCATATATACGTCATATACGCATATGCCATACACATATGACTCATACAATGGTATTGTGTTGTAACCCACCCGCCCACCCACTCACCGACTCCAGGCAGACCTCCAGAGCCTTGAGCTCGAATGGCGTTGCGGGCGTCAGCGGGCACGTGGACATCACGTCCACCTGGTCCCCGGGGCCCCCCTCGAACTCTCCCGTGCTCAGCCCCCCCGTGGTCGTGAAGCTTCGCATGATCGCCCAGTCGTTCAGCACGGGGCACGCCGCGGCGCTCCTCGCCAGCCGCGACTCCAGCCTCTTCACCAACGGCGCCTCGGCCTCCTTCACGGGATCGTGAACCAGCACGCAGGTGCGCGTGATCACGGCCTTGATGCTCTCCAGGGCGATCACGACGGCCCTCTCGCGGGGGAGGATGGCGGACGGGTTGGAGGACGACTTGGGGTCCAGGAGGCGCAGGTCGCGCGTCTGGACGCCCAGCTCCTGGGTGAGGCGGTGGCGGTCGATCTTGATCGGCGCGCTGCCGCCCCGGGGGTCGATGCGCACCCACTGGGAGACGGGCGGGGCGGCGGCGGGGTAGCGGGGCCTGGGACGGGGCTGCTGGGGCCGCGAGGGGGACGGCGCTTTGCCGGGAGCCTGCTTTCCGCCCCTCTTTTTGTGCGGAGGGGCGCCGTCCTCCCCCCCGTGGCCCATCGCGGCAAGCGATCTCCGCCGCCTTTTCCTTGCAAAGGAAGCGACTGTTTACGATCCTCTTCGGCCGTCTCCTTCCAGAGGAAATTTCCTGTCCCTTGGCGCTCCCTTGCGTCGTCCACAAGGCAGCGCGATCCCCGCTATCTACTTCGCCTCCGATCCGCGAGAGCCGAGTGCTGGCAACCCACCCACCCCACCGCCGATGTTTTCGCCGCGCCGACAGGTCCAATCAGCCCCAAGCGGCCACGAACGGGCGCGAGGGAAAAGAAATCCCAATCCTCGTCACCACGCGCCCCCGCGATACCCACACGGCCCGGCACCGCCCACAGCCAGCCCAAGCGAAAAGAAGGCAAAGACAAGGCCAAGAAAAGGCAAAAGGCCGATCCAATCTGCCAGCCGCGACCGGCGTCGATGATGTCGAGGGATTCCGCCCCGCCCCGCCGGCCAGCGAGCCCCCCGTCCGGACCCCCTCCTCAGGATCCCGCCCCGAGCTCTTCCAAGACGATCTAGACTCGCCCCGATCCGCGTCGAATCCCTCTCCTTTCAAAAATGCGTGGCCCACCGAAGACGCGCCTCCCCTCCCTGCTCCTGTCGCCCCGCCGGGGGCCGGCGGCCGTGCGCCCGTCTCCCGGCCTCCTCCAATCTCTGCCGCCCACCCCCTTCTCCTCACAAATCCCTCTCGCAACGGATATATAGGCCCCGGCGCCTCTCGAGACCCGATCCAATGCCTTGAATTGTGTGTTGTTGTCTTCGGGGCTCGAAAGTGGGTGCTGTTGTCTTCAAGGCGTGGGCCGCGCCTGTGGAGAGCGGGGAGCAGGGGGCCTCTGGGAGGGGCCTGGGTGGCCGATGAGCGGGGGTGGCCGGCCGCGGGTTGCTGCGCACGCGCCAGCGATGCCGAGGAGACCCATCGCCGGAGGTCGCGCCTTGGACGCTGGTGGGATGGACTGGGTCAGCGGGCGGCAGAAGGTGACAGGAATCCACCAGCCGGCGGCCAGCGCCCCGCTCCCGTTCCTCGCTGTACTTTGGTTGTGTCGTGCTTTGACTGGTCTTGCCGGTGCTTTTGACGACCGCGATTTGACGGTGCTGTACTTTGTTCACTTTGCACGCTTGTGCCGTATTGTGTTTGCCCTGTGCTCCTGTTCCTCGGCTGTGCTTTGGTTGTGCCGTACTTTGACCGGCTTTGCCGGCGCCGGCGGTGCCTTTGACGGCTGGGCTTCGACCGTGCCGTACTTTGTTTGCTTTGCCGTTGGTTCCGCGGAGGAAGCGCCCTTGGCTGCCAGGCTGTTGGCAAAGCCGACCATTTGACGGCATTGCAGCGTGATTCAGAAACGAGGCTGTCCGGGGCTGTCCAATGTTGGGGGCGGCTCACAGCACGGCACCAGCGTCGCACGCTTGGACGGGTGAGCCGCCGGTGCCTGCTGTAGCGGCACATGAGGTCAAAGGCGCGCTGAGGCAGCGGAAAACTGGAGCCTGGCTCAGGAGTGGATTTTTCGGCTTGCTGCTCTGCATGCATCACGCTGTGGATGTTCAGTTGCATCCCTCTCTGGAAAGGGGGCAGCGCAGCAATCCGTTCGCACCACCATGTATTAAGGTTCCTATTTTCCATGCACTTCAATGTGAGATAACGCATGACGATCAATGCCCCAGAAAAGCACCATTTCACATGCGGGTTTACCCATCGGGGGAAGGCTCTGTACAAATGCACTCATAAACAACACTCATGTCCCTGACAGAGCTTTTCCACATGCGCTATGCTGAAGTTCTACTGGAATAATCTTGTGCATTAGGAATGCAGCATGACTACTAAACTTGTACTTAATTGAGGCACAGGGGCAAGAGTTGCAGTGTGTCATGGTCCAACCTTTCTTGCTGAAAATTTCAATTCGATAGAAGGCTCAGGATTTAACCCTAATGCAATTTGCAATTTGGATTTCGGGCTCTGGGGTACATTAAACTGTCGGTGCTATTTTTTCCAGCTCACCCCCAAAACCTCCAAACCAAGCCTAAAACAGCTGTGGGCGAAAAATACGACGCCAAACTCTGCCGTGCCGATGTCCTCCTTGCCAGGGCATCCGCCCCAATCCTACCTCGCAGTATCTTGGGCCCATCAAGCCGCCTGCACGAAACGGTGGATCGTAGCCTCCTCTCGTAACACGCAAATCACACCACCCCAGTACTTTCCGTCCGTACTTTATCTCAATACTTCACATGTTCATTCAGCCTCCAGATACCCACACCGCAAGGCGCAATTCCGAGACCGCTGCCGACACTCTGGCCTCGCGAGCCGGGCAGTCGCGCACCCCCACCCCACAACCCCACCCCGCTCTTGGCCCTTTTCGGCGCGCCGGCGCTCGCGAGAAGCCATGCCGGTCGACCTCAGTCAGTTCAGCACGGAGGACCTGATGGAGGAGGTACGTCGCCGCCTGGATTGCATCAACAAGCCCGAAAAGCGGATCATCCTGATCGGTGAGAGCGCGGGCGGCGCTGGGCGGTGGGGGACACTCGCGGCGCCTCCTGTGGTGCGGGAAAGTGCCTTGTGACAGAATCTTGCCGTGCTGCACGGTGCTTGGGATGTTGGGGGTCCCAACATTTGATTTTCATTCCGAGAGGCTGTCTTTAGCGGGGGGCGCACCCGGAATAGAACGGGGCGATTGCGGTTCCAGTGGCGCTGTGGGTTCGCGCTGGTGCTGATCGTGCAAGCGATTCCGGGGCATGGACTGGAGTCCAAAAGGCATGGAACAGCCAATGGGCACACACACCCAGATCAAAGCGGGTCGCGACTCGCTGCCGCGTTTGCCCCGAGCGTGTCACTCCAGTTTACCACTCGGCGAACCGGTCAGCCCGCTAAATGCACAAATCGTCAGTAAAACAATATCATCCCGCTCTGTTCCGTGTTCGTCCACGCCGAAGATCGCTGTCCGACGGAAAGGTGCCTGGGAAATTGTCCGTCAATGCCCGCCCAACGCCTTGGACACGTGGGCTCATGCTTGCCCGACTGGTTTGGTCAGCGCTGAGGCTGGCTGCGGGCCTGATGTCGGTCGCCTCTGAGGTGCTGGGCCGAACCCGAGCGCTGCCAGTATTGGGCAGCAGCCAGGCATGTGGGCAAACATTCGTGTTAGGAGGGCGTGTTGCTGCTCCCCAACCTGCTGCTGGCAAGCACATGTGTGGCGCTGCACTGACGCGCTGATCCCACCGGGGGGCTTCAGAGGTCTCCCTGTGCTGGAGCCCGTGGGACATGTTTTGGGATGTTCGACATGTCAGGACAGGGTGGCACCAATCCCCATTGGAATGTGAAAAGAGTGTGTGGATTCTAGTGCACTGCGCCTCTTCCCATGCAAGTGTGCAGTTTCTCGCAGATTTCTAAGCACCACAACTGCTCTGGATGGCTCAGAAGGTGCCGATCGCAGACACCCTGAAGCATATTCCATCGAATTGCGATCAGCGCCGCTTGGCCGCACGTTTTGCTGAATCCTCCCTGCAAGGTGGCTTGACTGAGTTACATCATGGACCAGCGCCATACCCCCCCTTGGGAAAATCATTTTGAGTTGCATCAGTCAATGGCAATGCTGACTGTGCGCCCTTCGACAGCAAGGGGCACCCCACCCGATCGTCAAGTTGTATCTGACCATCATATTGCAGTACAGTGATCGTTGAGGAAAAGGGAAAGCAGGCACCAAACGCACTAGTCAACGTTCTGCTGATGTGCAGTGCAGCGCAGCGCAGTGGCATTCTGCCCATGTCCAGTATTTTCAGGGCATATGGGACGCTGACAATGTTCAGCACTAATATTAGAAGGATAATGCATTAAACACGAAATTCATTAACAAACGATGATAACAGGAATGGGTACATCGATGCCCACCTCAATGAATAATTTAAGCAAGTCTGTAAATGTGGTGGATGCTGATGGTGGGGATGGGTTGAGTGAAGATTTCTAGGATTTGTTGGTTCCTGCTGTTCCGCCCAGGGTGCATATTCCTGGTAGATATTCGTTTGTTCGCTGTGCAGGGCCCCCTGGCTCTGGGAAAGGAACGCAGTCACCAGTTATCAGGAAGGATCACTGCCTCTGCCACATTGCCACTGGCGACATGCTCAGGGAAGCTGTGAACAAGGGAACGCCACTTGGTATCCAGGTACTGACAAGTGTCCTCTGTTGCAAGAGTTGCGTTCTGTCTGACCCAGGCCGGTCAATTGACAATCCTTACAATCCTGCATGGAATGAAATGAAGAGAGAAGTCGCAGGAGTCAATTAAGTAAAGCAAAAATGTGGCTAACTTTCAGGTTTAGTCCCCTGGACAACCCTGAACATCCTGGTATCCTGGACAACATTGCAGGTCTGGGCTTTTCTTTGCCTGCCTGCATTGATGTAGTGAAGACGGAAAATAGAGGCGGTCATGTGGAAAAAGGAGTGTTCATCGGTTGGTAGGCTCGCCATCGAGTTCTCTTGGTTGGAGATGCAGACCCGTGTGCACTGTGTCCAGCTGGAGTGTGATGGGAATACACTTTTACATGTGTTAGAGTGCCATCTTTGCACCCATTTGCACAGCGATGATTGGTGCCAGCTTCTGTATCGTATAGAGAAATAAATCACTTACAGTGAGCACCTGGCTGTATCTGGCTGTGGCCATCCCATATGAGACAAAAGTCTTAGAGAAGGCTCTGAACGAAGGACATGTGTGTGGACACAGCGAATCATTGAGCCAAGCGATGTTCACGTTGCTTGTTTTTTCGGCATACAAGAAGTCACGATGGGCACTGGTTTGGTGCATCTGATACAGCCACCCCCCGTCATTGAAGAGGGCAGTAGTTCGTGCAGCACTGCTGTATGACATAAATTGACTTGAATGCACAACAGTTGGGGATGTGCACCAAACAGTCCCTTCTGCACAATTTCAAGCGAGTGGATGGTGTTGCATGTTATACGATACAGCAGTTCGTGCTGTATATTCTGTTGATGTCCGGCAATCACCTTGCAACTGCAAGGGCAATGCTTGTGATGCATTTTGATGATGTTCTTGACGATCGACACCACAACAAGGTTGCGCACATGGGGTTTGTTGGGTTGAAGGAATGCATCCATGAACCAATCCAATACAAGGTTCACTTCTCCCAGCATGTGGGCACAGGTGGTCAAAGTCGTTTCCCACTTTTGAGTCGCCTTGCAAGATTGACCACATAAGATGGGTCCAATGGCCCACAGTGTATTGGACGCTCTCTAAAGACTCCAGCCTAATGCGGTGTTCGTTGCTGTGGCTGTCTTAGGCCAAGAAGGCCATGGAGTCTGGCCAGATGGTCTCTGACGATGTCGTCGTGGGCTTGATAAGTGAGGCCATAGCGGTGCCAGAGTGCAAGACCGGTTTTGTGCTGGATGGCTTCCCCCGAAACGTTTCGCAGGCAAGGAAGCTCGATGCGATGCTCGCAATAAAGGGGCAGGCCATCGACAAAGTTTTGAACTTGAAGGTGGAGGAGAGGGTGCTGGTGAGTGGGGCTTTCCGTCTGCCGGCTGCATTCCCAGAATTTGACAAAATGGCACCCTTGCGATCTTGATGCGATGGGGAACATGTTCTCATGCACAATGCCTGATCGCTAGTGTAGCGGGGATGCTGTTGAGTAGTTGAGATGGTGCCCATTTTCAGTGCATCAGCTGATTTCAGGCTGGCCCTTCAGTTGCAATCGATGGAAGGCAGATAGGCTATTCCCTTGAACCGACTTGAATGGGGACAAGATGCATGCAACAAGGAAGTTGTGGGGACAAGCACTTCTGTTGCTGCAGAACACACAAGCTGCGATGGTTGCTTTCTGTCATAAATATGTGCATTGCGCAACAGTGTCATTACCACGGCAGTGCCATAGTGCTCCAGCACAACAGCACTTATCGATTGTTGACGCAGTCGCGATAATGCCAGTGGTGTGCAAGGTGTTCACATCCCAACTGCTCAACGTTCTCCACGAGCCTTGCAACCAAGCAATCGAAGTTACACTCCTGAGCACGGTTCAGCTCACCGCCACGCACTTTTCCACATGGAAAGCTTGATTTCCATCTATCTGCAGCTTTGCACATTTTCCCGCCTTTCAGCAATTCTTCCTGCCTATTTTTTGACGCATATTCTTTTTCCCTTCCGTATTGCCTTCATTTTCTGCAACATTTTCACATCTCTTCTGCGTGTTTTGCGCATCTTCAACACGCTTGTGGTCCCCCAGGAGGAGCGGGTGACGGGCCGGTGGGTGCACCCCGCCAGCGGCCGGTCGTACCACGAGGTGTTTGCGCCTCCCAAGGTGATGGGGGTCGACGACCTGACGGGTGACCCCCTCGTCCGGAGGAAGGACGACAATGTGGAAGTGCTGCACAGGCGCCTGCGGCTGTTCATATCCCAAACGTATCCGGTGAGCCAGGCGCCTTTTGGCTGGGGAAGTGGATGAGTGGCCTGCCTCCGCAGAGTTTGTGTCCGTTTTTATCTGAACATTGTGTGAATTGTGCGTGCGCACATATACTGTAAAATACTCAATCCTTCCGCATCTGAAAATATCGCAGTTACGCTTTTTGCTCCGCAGGTTGTTTTTCAGAGCATTGTTTTATACTTTTTAAGTTGCTCCGCGCAGAAAGGCCAAGATTTGCTTTACTATTTGTACTATTGTTACTATTTTAACTATTTTGCTATTATTTTCTCCGCAAAAGAAGAAGAAGCGTTACGTTGCTTTGGGGAATAGCTTAACATTTACAGTATGCATGATGTGTATAAGTTGCTAAAGACGGTGAGAAGATGGTGAGAGCGTCGTAGCTAATTGTGCACCCCGTGTTGAAGGGGAACAAAGTCGTTCGGCGATGACCTTGTTTTGAGTGGCACTTCGCACCGGTGTGCATGTGAAGCCACCTACATATAGTGTGATGTCTCTTACGTCTCTTACGTGTGATGTCTATATGTGTGTCACCCTATAAAATGCGATATCTGTTGACTGAGCAGATGATGCCCAACCTTCATGGACATTGACGGTATGGAACAGCACGTGAAAACCTTTTGAGTGGCTAAGTCGATGCTCACGAGGAGGGCGCCCGACTCTAAGAAACCCTGCAGCAGGGCATTGAACGTTTGGACGCAGGTTTAGACATACAAACACAATGTGGCGCCCTCCTACACGCCACAAAAAGCTCTCGAACCCTTCCAGGCCCGTCTGGCAGTTGAACCACGGGTCAGTTGCAGATGCATTCTAGGAGCAGTGGGGCCCTTGGGTGGGTTGGATTCCAGTGTCGTGGGCAGCCCTTCGAAATGGTTTCAAAACGAGAGAGTGTTGGACCATCACCACGGGGCGATCCCACAAATGGATCTAACTCTTGCCGTGTGGTGATGTACAACAATTGAATGCGGTCCCTGTGCCCACCTCGCCAGGTGCTGGACTACTACGGCGGCCGTGTGGCAACCATAGCCGCGAATCAGACCCCGTCAGAAGTGGCGGAGCAGATTAGACGGGCGCTCAAGCTCTCCTGACGGGGAACACCACACGCCTCTTCAAGGCGTTGCCGACGCCTGTCCAAGGCTTGGGCGATGGACACCACCCTCGATGGTGGTTGAAGCGGATGTGACACAAGCTAGTTGGGGCAGTCTGCGTGTGTTCGTGACTTGTTGAGTACGTTTGTCCGGCATAGAGAAGCAACGGTCTTTAAGTTTCGCGATGGCAGGCCTTTGTGAGTGTGTGCGCATTTGGAGATAGCCCATGCGCCAGCCCTTGTTGCACACTACTAGCCAATCTTGCCTGTACCACCTGTTGGGACTTTGAGGGGGGGGCGGGAAGCGCGGAAGGAGTGCGTGGGCGGCGCTTGTGTTCAAGCCCGGAATTCGGCTTTCGTAATGGTTGTTGACGACTACACGCACTCCATGCTTGGGATGCGTTGGGGATTGCAATTCTTTCAAGGTGCTTGTAGTCGACCGCAATTTGTCGATGGCTTGCAAGCACTTACTAGACGGGACAGCGTTGGGCAATTGTTTCAAGGTGATCTTTATCGACCAAGTTGGCAATGGTTTAATGAAATGAGTTGCAGCCTGGACCATGCTCTGTCCCCGGCTCGTAGGGCACACCAGAGGGCAGCGAGGGCCGGTTCCCTGGGGAATGGGACGCGGCATCCCTCTGCAAAGCGCAAGGATGTCTTGCGGGCCCAGCCTACAGAGCACCAATGCGCCCAACCACCCTAGAGTCTGCTGCTCACAGGATGCGTGGACCAATCTGTGGTGATCTGTGACAGCAACAATGGCGCCACTGCTTGTGGCTCTCGTGCCCATTCCTGGATGGCTCTTTTCATCTTCTGCTATTTCCCATTTTGTTGGAAATATTCCAGCTAGACTCCTCTCTTGCAAGGCCGAGGATGCTGCAGTCTAAGCATAACACCGCTGTTGCCAGCCTCAAGTTTTCTTTCGTCTACGACTACCTAAGTTTTGGGTCCCACAGCCTCCCAGCCAAAAATGCCTTCTTGACTGCATCCACTCTCCAACTGGCAGCCAAGCCAATGCTGACATTTAGCGAGTGGTTGGTGTTGGCCAGGCATCTTGGCAAGAGCGAATTGGCACTGAACGGATGAGCAGGTCTGGTGTAATGCAGCCCATGTGGGAAAGACACATGTCCATATGGTGGTTTGCTGGAATCCAAACAGGTGGACGCCGGGCTGATGTGGGATGCCCTTGTGGGCTCCCCGTGCGCACTCGATTGGTTTCTTTGCTACAATTGCAAGCGGATTGTGTGCGGAGCCTGAAGATTGCACTAGTTTTCTGGCATGGGCTTATGTGTGAATGGAGTGCGACAATGCGCATTTTATGCAGCGCTATAGACCAGAGTGCCCAGGATGCAATGGATGAGGAAGCTCCAAGGTTGGTGCGGCGATGGCTCCTGCTGCGCACTTGCACTGGATTGTTGGCTCTGCTTTGAGAGCACTCCTCCGTGTGGACTTTACCTATAATGAAATGTGCTGCGCCAGATACTTCTCGAAGCTACTTAGCCAGCTACTGCTGAACGCTACCATGCAGGCTTGTTGCACCACAACCTGCCCTGTGCTTCAGCCCAAGACATATCGCCTGGGCTGACATGTCCAGGTGCACTCGTGGGTGGCTGACGCACACAGGCTGTGTGGATATACAACGCACGAAACTGCCCACCATGTACCCAAGCGTGATGACTAGTAAGCAATGCAAAGCAGACCTTGTGCAGTTTCTTGCGGTTTACTTCTTCCGTCTGGAGTTAATTGGACCCCGACTCACAATGCACAATTTTCGGCCAAATCTTAGGGAATTTCAAGGGGGCCCCAGAGGTAGTGGGGAGGGGTATTTCGTCGCAAAAGTTGGTAGTCAAGGGTTTGGGGACCCAATCTTTCGGTTATGGCCTTAATTGGCTCTTTGAAAGCCGCTTCGATAAGTAAGTTGATCTTTGAAATAGAGGACAACTAATTCTGGACGGAGGAAGTACCTGTTAGCGATTCTGCCATGGCCAGCATATTGCCGTACACGTCCTGAAGGATCAGTACAGGCCAGCCTTGGCCTCTAATGCCTGCGCTGATAACATTGATGACAGCATGAAAAGACACTGACTTTGCACCTCCATGGTGGCACAGGGCGCAATCCGAAAGTGTTCACTTCCAACAAGTTTTGAATTTAGTGAAATTACTGAATTCTCTTCGCAGCTCCACCGAAAAATTCTAAGCACCTCTAGCTAGACGTACCCCTGCCATGTCAGGCACGTTCCCTTTATTCACTCTACGGCCCCCAGTGCCCGGCCACGGCGGGCACGCCGCAGCAACACCCTATCCATTTCACTGGTTGCATGGACCATCCACCAGGTACAAAATGAACTGAAAGATATTTAGGACATCAAGGTAGACGGTCAGCGCCGCGATCACGTAGTCATCCAGGCCTATCTCCAACTGCCTGCTGCCCCCAGCGATGAGCTGCACGTCATAGACCAAGTACACTGAAAAGAGCAGGGCACCCGCGCCAGCGTACACCGCCTGCAGCACTTTCAACCCTGGGATGAACACCGTGATGAGCCCAGACAGCAGCAAGATCCACACGGTGCTGTACAGCGCTCCACCCCACAGCGTGATGTCGAATCTGGTCTGCAGGGCGAAGAGGGATAGCCCCACCGTGACACCGGCCGTCAGGCAAAAGGCTAACAAGACAGCCTGCACGTCGAAGGCGGACGAGGTGGCACCTACGAGATAGCCTTCCACGGCTGTGAAGGCGAAGAGGAGGATGTAGTTGATGGGGTACCTCCTCTCCAGGCCGCGCATGCACGCCAGGGGAATCAGGATGGCGAAGGACAGGGCAACGCCCAGGTACAGCGGCCACTTGTGGGAGTGGATGTAGGTCCTCAATGTGTCGGACAGGAAGAAGGGGGCTGCTATGAGAGAAGTGAGGATCAGCTGCGCCGCCAAGATACCTACAGATGGGGAGCGGCGCAATACATGAGATGCTTAAATCCTGGCTGGCAACACGCTTGGCTGCATCGTTTTTACCACAGATTGTCTACCACAGGCAACTTTGCAGCATTCTTTCACATTTGATTGCCTTGTTGTGCACTGTCACCAATTGTTGTCTGAGAAAGCACACTTCCTTCACCCAGAACGTGGTACGGGATGCCCCCCACTGGGTCATTGACAGGACTCTTCTGTCAGCAATACCCGACGTCTAACGGCTAATATGCCGCACTTGGAACGATCGCTAGTACGTGGCGTGGGTGCTGGGTGATAAGCAATGCCCTGGTAAACAGCACGGACTTCTCAATTCCTTTGATTGCTTGGTCAAACAGTGAATGAAATAAAGAAAGCAAAAGGGACGAAACAGTTCCCATGCACCTGACAGGCGATTATTGGAATAATTCCCCGCCCAATGTTCAAATGAGAATGCGTTAAAAAGAGGCAGTGGGCATGTGGCCAAATCAGCTGCCATAGCGCTGGCTGCGCTGTGCCAACAGCACAGGGCAATGTTCATACGGAGGGCACACTTGTTGTACCAAGTTCGGTGTCCATTCAGTGCCTGGCATGACGAATCAAACCATGGATTCTAGCCAGGGAACCACCCTTGACAGTTGGAAAGGGGCTGAACTGCACAATATTTTGGAAGGCGAGTACACACAGCACTAATGTGTTTTTCCATTGTCTTTCTGGTATTTTGTCTGTGATTTCGGGCATTCCTGGAAATGGACTGAACTGCACAGTGTCTTTTCTTTGAAAGGCGTGTATACACAGCTCTATTGTGTTTTGCCATTGTCTTTCTGGTATTTTGTCTGTGATTTCTGGCATGCGTGGGAGGAGACAAACTTTTGAGACAGTGCTTGGGCATGGCTCTATCCCTATCATTGCCAGCAGGCTGCAAGGGATGTCTTTGTCATGCAGTGACAATCGGAACCATTTGAAAACAGTTGACGACAAGCATTTCAAGAGAAAAGAATAGGGATATGCCAGGTAGGCCAGAACGAAGCGCCGACTGAGATTTTATGTGGCACTCGGACTTAAGCGCTTGCAGTGAGAGATTTCATCTGCAATGACATGGGACATGAAGCATGCAGCACTGGCTGACGGTTTAGGTGTCTGTCAGTATTATCTCGGTGAGATGATCTCCCGCTCCTCCCCATCACCCAAATTTTGCTTTCATCTACCATACAATGCCCCAAGTGGCAAAACACAAGTCCTCTGGCTTTCCTGGCTTCCAAACGAATCCAATTGCCGGGTTTGGCAATCGCTATTCGGCAAATCGCCTAATTGCTTCGGCTGTACTTGTCCTCGCAAGGTAAACGGGCCTCTTGAACCCTGCAGTCAATGGAGAGGGATAAATCGCAATTCAGCATATTCAGAAACGGGCCAGGGAGGGGCACCACCCGCAGCCGTCGTGTCGCTGGCTAGAATTTCGACGTATCCACGGCAATCTGCATCGCAAGCGTCCGCCACGACAGCCCACGGAGCATTTTTGGCGTTTGCGGGCCATCCCCTGCTGATTCCGATCGTCGCACCAAGCCCCGGAACCGCGGGGCGCGCAGCTGAGCGACGAAAACAACAGCGGTAGAACCTTCTGCCCCGCTCTGTTACCACGCCGAGAGAAGGCCGTCGATCCAGCAAGGAAAGATCCACAGACAGAAGGGCGTCGATCCAGCACGGAACGATCCAGGAAAGATCCACGCACCGAAGACTTTCCTCATGAATCCGTTCCGCAAGGCCGTTGAATAGCGAAGCTCGTGGTCCTGCCCTATGCGTCTGTTGGCATCGCGCCTGCTGGCGTGAGCTCCGTCGGCCTCGATGTCGCCGTACAGATCCTGGAAGGACACCATGCCGGGCTTGTCCATGGCGGCGCCGCTGCTCTCTTCGGATCCGCCTGCCTATCCGAAGACTGGCGGCTGCTCCCCCCTCTAGGATCTTACTCTTCCGGAGTTTCGCCCTCCGGGTGGGCGCTCGCGGCTTTGACACCTGGAGCGTCGGACAGGGCCGGCGGCTAAGTGTGGAAGCGAGGGGGAAGCGTTGGTGTTTGGTGGCAGTCTGCAGAAGCAGGCCGGGGAGGCGGCAAAGGACTAGCGGACCGCGGCTGCAGGCAGGTTAAGTACCAGGCGGCCTCAGGCCAGCGCTGCCCTTAAGTGATGTCACACACCGTAACGCCTTCCCTGGAAGGAGGTGTTCACACGTTGCCACTGATAACGTAACCCCTTGCCCCGAAGGAGGTGGTCACACGTTCTCAGTGGGAACGTGCGTGCTCATCCTTCCGGGGCCAGGCGTTGCGGCTAGAACTTCCCGCACTGCGGGTCTGTGGGGCCGTGGGGGGGCGGTTGTATTTGGGCGCCCAGAGCGGTCACAATCAGGCGATGGTCGCTGTGTGTGACATGGTTGGGGGCCAGCGAGGCATGGATCCGGTGCAAGCTTATTACAAAGAGTCGTGTCCAAAGCTGTCACATACGTGGCATGTCCTGCATCCCTTCATCGGACCTGATCCTCGCTGATCGAGAATGTGCCTCTTCTGAACCATTCAAAATCACCGGCTCATGACAAAGTAATCCTCCCACCAATCCATCCTCCTCCCATCAATGTGTTTGATGTGCCCCATCATCCAACGCTCCCTGGGGCCACTGACTGCCGTCATTTACCCCACAGAGGCACTCGCCACCACACTGGCACACAGTCACCGGAGTGCCATAAACCCCACGATGTCCTTCAATCGAACAACCGCAAAGACCTGTCAAACAGCGGTCAAGAACAAACGACGAAGCAGCAAGGACCAGCAGCACCCTGGGAAGAGGGGAAAACAAACGTCCAAAAAAAACACCTAAACGATCAAAGGATTTGAAAAATGCAAAACAAAAGAAAAAAAACACCCAAACAGAAAGTAACACCATGGGCCACCGATGTTGTCATGGCTCCATCGTTCTCAGGAGGAATCCTCTGAGGGACCAACCTCTAGACAGAGTCACTGCAAAGTTTGCAATTGAAGTGCATTCCTTTCATCCCCGGTGATTGGACAGTGATATGATGCGTGGGAAAACACCAGAAGCCCCGGCTGTGTGCAAAACATGGTATGCAAGCGCTGTGCACGAAGCGGTAGTGGAACGGGGGCTGTACATTATTGTAATGTGCAGCGTTGCATGGTTGGGGGGAGGGGTGGGAATCGGGCACCAAGTCAGGTCGGCTGTCCATGGCCAGCCTCGCAGCAGATTAGTAATCTTTGGTCACCGAAAATGTTCAGCCCTTCCGCATGGTAACGCAGCGCTTGGCCTGATGTTGTGGGAGAAAATTTATCAAATACTTCGAAGTAGTAACGTAACGCTTGGCCCTTTTTGGCGGAGCAACATAAAAAATAATAATGACGCTCTGAAATAGAAGCGTGGAGCAGAAAGCCTGACACAAATATTAATAAATACAAATAAATTATACATTTCTCATGCGGAAGGATTAAGCATTTTACGTTGGAAGGCAGGGCGGTCTCTCACGTGAGGCGGCGATCAATCAGGCCGGTTGACGTTTCGTGAGGGCAGCCTGGTTGCGGTGGCAGGGCCGACCCCCCCCCCTGGCCGGACAAACTCCACCAGCCAATAGGAGCGATCATGTGGGTGCTGCATGGGTATCACGTGGGCAGTGCCCTGCGGGAGGGGGAGGGATGGCGCAGCCACAAAAAAGGGGGTGGGAACTCGCATTTGGCATACACGCAAAAGTGCATGCAATATACGCGGAAGGATCTATGCGGAGATGGTCTGGACGGCTAACACCTTCACTACTCCGCACTGATTACATTGATGCATTGACTACATTGATGACAGCATGACAAAATGCTGACTTTGCACCTGCAAAGCGGCATATGGTGCAGTCCACAAGTGGTGATTCACAAGTGGTGATTCAAGACAAGTTCTTGCAGTAGTTGAGTTCTTGAATTCCCGTCGAAGCTCGACCAAAAAGTCCCAAGCACCGCATTGAGACACAGACCCGCCATGTTATGCACGTTCACTTTATTCAATCCCTTTGACATCCAGTGCACGGCCACGACATGCACAGCACAACAAGACACCATCCACTTCACTGGTTTCTCGAATCGCCCACCAACTGCAGAATGTACAGAAAGATGTTTATGACGTCAAGGTAGATGTTCAGTGCTGCAGGCACATAGTCATCCAGACCTATCTCCAGCTGCCTGCCCCCGGCGATGAGCTGCACGTCGTAGACCAAGTACGCTGAAAAGAGTAAGGCACCCAAACCAGCGTACACCGTCTGCAGAACTCTGACCCCCGGAATGAATATCATGATGAGGCTGCACAGCAGCAAGATCCACAGGGCGCTGTACAGCACTCCGCCCAACATTGTGATGTCGTATTTGGTCTGCATGGCGAAGAGGGACAACCCCACGGTGACACCGGCCGTCAGGAAGAAGGCCAACACGACGGCTTGCACGTTGTACGTGGATGAGATGGTGCCCACGAGGTAGCCCTCCGCAGCCGTGAAGGCGAACAGGAGAATGTAGTTGATGGGGTACCTCCTGGCCAGGTCGCGTACGCAGATCAGGGGAACCAGGACAGCAAAGGAGACGCCAAGGGCCAGGTACAGCGGCCAAAGGTGGGTGTGGATGTAGGTCCTCAGGGTGTCGGACAGGAAGAAGGGGGCTGCTATCGCGGAAGTGAGGAGCAGCTGCGCTGCCAAGATGCCTGCAGACAGGGTGGGGAACATGCATGAAATGCTTAAATCCTGGCTGACAGCTGAAACATTTGTCACGCTTGGTTGCATCAGTGCATTGCTTGCCACAGACAACATTGCAGCACTCTGTCACCCGTGATGGCCTTGTGATACCTTGTTGCACTTTGTCATGTGGGAAAGCATGATTCTTTCACCCAGAACGTAATATGGAATGGCCCCCACTTTATCATTTGACATGACTCTTCTTTCAACATGACGTCGAATGGCTAAGATGCAACAGTTGGAACGATCACCAATGCATGGCATGGGTGCTGGGTGATAAGCAAATCCCTGGAGAAGAGCATGGACTTTCCACATCCTTTGATTGCTTTGCCAAACAGTGAATGTACAGTTTTTTGGAATACAGAGGGCGGCAGCGACAATGCACATGCACCTGACAGGCAGTGATGGGCGTAATTCGCTGCCCACTGTTCACTCAAATGAGAATGCATGAACGACGAGTAGTTTGCATAGGGCCAAGTCAGTAGCCAAAGCGCTGATTGTGTTGTGGCGAATGGCTTGGGGGAGTGCTCGGACTGTTGCACCAAGTTCGGTGTCCATTTAGTCCTTGGCATTATGAACCAAGCCATGAATTCTAGCCAGGGAACCACCCTTGACAATTGGAAAAGGACTAAACTTCACAATGCTTTGAAGGGGAATATGCACAGTTCTGGGGGACCTGTCATGTTTGGGCATCATCTTCTTCGTATTTTGTCTGCAGTTTTGGGTTTGCCTGGAATTAGACAACAATTGGACCTGTGCAGGGGCGCAGCTTCATCCCCAACATCGCCAGCGGAGTGCAGGTAATGTGTTTGTCATGCATGGACAACTGTAATCATTGGAAATCAGCCAGTGCCAACATCTCAAGACAAAGGAATGGGGACATGCCAGCTGCTCTATATGGAGCACAGACTGAGATTTCATGCGGCACTCAGATCTAATCACTTGTAGTGCAAGAATCCATTTGCAATGGGATGGGGCGTGAATCATGCAGCACAGGTGACGTTTTATGTGTCTGTCAGTGTTCCACACTCGTTGAGCTCAGAAGAAAACCAACTCCTTCCCTCGACCAAATTTTGCTTTCATCAACCACGCGACGGCGGTCGCCCCGCAACTGGCAAACACCAGTCCGCTGGCATTCCTGGGTCTTCCAGAAGATTCCAGTCACCCGGTTTTGGGCACCTGCCAATCGGCAAATCGCCCAGTTTCTCGTGCTACATTAGTCGATGCGAGACACAGCAGGGCTCCGGAACCCTGCTTCCGATGGAGCGAGACAAGTCGCATTTCAGCGTCTCCGGCAGCGGGCCGGGGAGGAGCGCCACCCGCCAAAAACAGGAAGCCAACAACCATCTGTCATGTGGCTGGCCACGCTTCGACAAAACCCACGCTAGTCTGCAACGCACGCGTGGACCACGCATGGGCCCCAGTCCAGCGCGCGCCCGTTCAAGCCCTGACCTTCGACAAGGCGCCAGCTCTTAAGCAGCCGAATCGGAAAACCCTCCTCGTGCCGCAAAACAGCCGGCGAATCCATCGACGCGACAGGAGGCGATGAAGCGTCAAGGTCATCAGCGGCAACTCATCAGGACATTTTTCCCACTCGCGGGCCACCCCCTCCTGATCCCGTCCGTCGCAACGAGCCCAGGAAACCGCGGCACGCCAGCAGAGCGCGGCGAAAACAGCGCTGGCCAAAACCGTCTGCCGCCTTGCATCATCACGTCGAGAGAGGGGCGTCGATCCAGGAAAAGGGAAATGAAAAGGAAGAAAAGATTCACTCACCGAAGACCTTCCTTATGAACCCGTTGCGCACGGCCACGTCGTCGTCAACTTCGCCGGTCTCGATGTCGCCACGCAGCCGCTGGAAGACGCCCTTGGAGGAGTCGTCCATGATGACGCGCCTGCGCCGATCGGATCGCCTTGCCTGGCGGAAGACTCGCGAGTGCTCCGCCCGTCACGCGTGCCGCTGTTCTGGACTTTAGCCCCCTGGGTGGGCGCCCGCGGCTTTGAAACCGAGGGCGATTGGCGAGGCTGGTGAGCGTGTGTGGAGTGGCGTGGAAGCAGGTTGGGTGTGTTGGCGGAGGATTATGAGCTGGTTGCCGTGGGGGGATTATGGCATCGTCCTCTGCGCCTCGTGATGATCACCGGTTCTCTGAACAACTCCGGAGATTTGGGTCGGTCGTGTGGTGCTTGTTCTCGCAGGCTAGGAATTGGTCGATTCTGGATTTAGTTTGTGTTGTACATTAGTTTCCAGATCTTAGTTGATCGGCCGTGTCGGCGCTTGTTGTTCTTGCAGATTAGGAATTGGTGGAATCTGGATTTAGTTTGTGTTGTACGTTAGTTTCCAGATCTTGGTCGGTCGGTCGTGTCGGTGCTTCTTGTTCTCTCAGATCAGGAATTGGTCGATTCTGGATTGTGTTTGTGCTGTACGTTAGCTTCCATGAACACCGCTGTGTCCAGGCACCGTGGGAGGCGAACGGGTACCCTCATTGCCTTGCTGTGCTCATGGTGATGCTTGTGCCTGTCAAATTAGCTGACATCCGTGTTTCAGACCCTCACTCTTGCAATTCACGACAGCGACGGTGTTTTGGAATGCGACGTACCTCCCCCCTCCCCCCTATTAGGCAGTGTGAATATGGATAACCGTTGCGTGACGACCACAGGTTGCGTCAGAAACACACCTCCACGGGTAGACGCCTGCTTCGATCTTTGCACATACAGTTCGCATCTTGGACTGAAGCGAATGTCCCTTCAGGCAGTTGCGCCCAAGCTCGAGTTTCGTGACACCCTGCTAGGAGCTGTGCACGAGGTCACAACAATTGCTGCTTCCACGCTCAACTCCACAAGCTTGGGTCAATTGGACAGAAAAGGAGTGGACGCTTGACACCACCCCGCCGTGGGCACAGAGTTCCCCCACCACGGATGTATATACCTACCGCGGAGGGGTCATGGAGGTCATTAAGGATACTCGGGATACGTGATACATGAAGGATGCTACCAACTCCAAACAACCTACACCCGAAAACGACCATCATGACGTTCATGACTTCGTGGGTCCATGCCTTCACGACCTTCGCGACTTCCAAGTCTGGAAATGAAGCGACATTTGGGGGGCATTTGGAGGTGGGGGTGCGGGGGTGGGTGGGGGCAAACGGTCAGCAAAGTCACCCCAGCCGTCAGCAAAGCAGCACTTATTATGTCCAGTTCACAAGGCAGCCGCACGTTCTGCATTTTCGTCCCGGCAGCCAGGGACACCATCCACTGCGGATGCTGTCAGCACACACACACACACACACACACATACACCCCTTTTCCTAAGCCCCAGTCAGTCAGTCTGCACCAACGCCCAAAGTTTGCGTCGCACAGATGTCACACGCCCTCCATCATAACGGGCTTCCTAACGCCCGGGTCAAGGAAAGACTGCGCCCGTCATTGCCTTGCAGGCACAGGGCGGTGTTTTAATCGCCTGTGGCGATGTAGTCGAAAGGACTTTCTTCGGGGAAAGCTGCCCAACAGTGTCTGCCAAGTCTGGCCGCGTCAGGTCACACAAGGCATCTAATCACAGGCCCGCACATATGCCCTGCCCTGCCCACTGAGAGGCCCTTCCTGCCTTACCCGATCCCCGGCAGTCCATCGACGCATCACTCCTCCTCTGCTTAAAACTGTTGGTACAAGGTGTCTAGCACACCACAAGAATTAATGGTACAATACGGATCCCAACTAATAGCATTCCGGAGGAAAATCAACGTTGGGAAAAAATAATGGGCCCTGTTGGCCCCCCTCCCTCCACAAACGGACCCCACCAACCCACCAAACGGACCAAAGAAATGGGCACCCTGTCAACCATGCTCCATGAGACTTACCACAGCACAGGTTGTTGTCATCAACACCTGCAAAATGCCATGCGGCTAACCGTGCTCCAGCTCAAAGGCCCGTCACGCAATCACCTACTGCCTGTGCAAGAGTCGTCACATGCTCGGCTTCGCCATCCCACGGCAGCCAAAGCGCCATCACTGAAATGCCTCTGTCGCAGGCACTCAAAGAAGACCCAAAGTAAAAAAGCAGACGTCCCAGGTCTCAAGTCTAAAGATCCATTCGTCGTCTCAAAAGATCATCGTGTCGTCTACAAACCTTTCGGTTTTTCAGGCCATAACCCCTGCCTTCCTGAAGCAATGGAGCCACTAAACTCCCGCTTCAGCACACATTCCAAGTCCTATTTTCCACGGTGACCATGTTTGTCCCAGGTTCAATTTAGCTGCTGCTCATCGCCCTAACGCCCTTTGGCCAATCCCTGTTGCTCCCATCACTGCAAAATTTCTCGCACCCCACCCCCCGGTCGCCTGCACTGCAGCAGCGACACAGCAGGGCGCGCACAACTCGCCCTGCTCCCCTCCCAAAGCCCTAAGCACCACCAAATCGACTCATCACGCACAATCGCCCTGGCCCCCCCCACCCCACCCCCACCCCACCTCACCTCCCCTTGCAAACACCAAGCCTTCGCATCTTCCCCCTCCGTGCGCGTCACAATCCTTCACAGCATCCAACCACCCACACCCCGGCCCAAACCCCTGCCAACCAGCTGCTAATTATTTCACACGCCCTCCAAAGCATGTCACCGCCATTCTGCTCATTCCAAATGCCTCAGCGCATCCCAAACCGCCACTCGGGCCCCTCACTGCACCACAGTGCCCTCCTCCTCACCCTCCTCAACGCCCTCCAAGCCGCCACTCTCCCCATAGCCGTCCGCCGGCCCCTCAAACCCCCGTCCACCTTCCCCCTTGCTCATCACGTTGGAATCCACCAGTGATGATGTGCTGGCATCCGAGGCAGATCCCTCAGGGCTGTAGGCGCTCCCCTGATGGCCCCCTCGCCCAGCCACCTTCCCCACCTGTCTCTGGGTCCCACCTGCATGCCCATTCGATCCCCCCCTCAATGAATCACCGGCAAAATAGGGCAGCACATTCGGCGGGGCCCTCCCAGGAGGACGGAAAAACGGCTGCGCCACACCGGAGCCCCATGGCATCATCCCCGCCATCACGGGACTGGGCACAATCATGCCGCCTGGAAACATCCCCCCCGGGGGCCTGTGAACGGCCGGGAACCGCTGCACAGGGTAGAAACCTCCGCCGGGCTGATGGGGCCCGTACTGAGCAGCCATGGCGTAGTTCATGGCGTTGATCGGCACCATCGGCGGCGACACGGGCACCGGCGCGGGCCAGGCGGATGGCTCCGGGTGGTGGAACTTGCACGTGGCGCCGAAGCCGCACCAGCTGTGCTTGACGTAGAAGCTGCAGGGCCTCTCGCCGTCGCGCATGGGGTACCCCAGCGCGTTGAGCGCCGGGCGGCCGGCGTTGGCCGGGTGGTGGTACCGGCACTTGTCGCCGTAGCCGCAGGTGCCCGTCCTCAGAAAGTACTTGCAGATCTCGCGCTCCGTGGGCGCGGGACCCCGGGCGGACATGGGCGGCTCGGCGCCCCTGGGCGTGTTCCCCAAGAAGCGCTTGCCGCCGCGGGGGTGGATGGCGTCCCCGGGATCGGAGGCCAGCTCGCGCGGGGAGCTGTGATCCGCGCCGCCCAAGCACGGCTCGGGCATCCGGCGCTCGGGGGGGATGTGCACGGGGCGCATCCCGCCGAACTGCCCCGCCGGCATCACCGGTCGGGGGATGACGCCGTAAGCCGGGCCCCGCAACCCGGCCCTGGGATCCATCCCCGGGAAGTCGGGAGGCGGCGCCATGGCCATGCCCGGTGCGAACGCGGGGCGGAACCCTGTCGCGCCCCACGCACCCCCCTTCCCCGCGTCCCACCCGCCCATCCCGTGGCCTGCAGGCGATGCCCCCGCGGCGCCCTTCCTCCTGCCGCCTCCGCCGCCGTGGTGCCCCCGCCCGGCCAGCGGCTCGCCGAAGCCGGCCCCGCCCGGGCGCATGTCGGATGCCATCCTTTCTTCGCGGCCCCCTTCGTCCACACACGGCCGCCCACCCATCAGGCGCCGCCCACACATGCGCCGCAGCGCCGGGCACGCCCAGCAACACGAACAACACACGAGCCCACGCACGCAGGCCAGCAAAAAAACCCACCCCCCCGCCACGCAAGGATCACAAACCCCATTTCGCGATTCGGCGCGCGCAGCGCGTGCGGAGTCGACCGCAGTGCGCGCGTCACAACGCAAGCGCACGGAAAGCCGGTACATTCGCCGGTCAGCCCCTCCCTTCGCCGCTTTCCCCATTTCCGTGCCCGCCCACCCCGCCCCGGCAGCCAGCATCGCCCCCACCCCGCGCCACGCCCCGGCCACGATTCACCCCATTTCCACGTCGGCATCGCTTCCCCCTCCCTCCCCGCCCCTCCCCAACCCACAACGCCTCCCCCCACCCCGCCCCACATCCACACAAGCAAACAAGCAAGCACCTCGCTATGCCGCAAATCCAGCTGGCACAAAAAGCCAACCCGGGCCTCCCCGCTGCCCAAACCCCCTTGCCTTGATCCCAGCGATGATGAGGCCTCCCGCTCCCAGTCGAGGGTCGATCGGCCCGCTCGTGCCCGCGGGCCCAGCTCGAGCCGCTGGAAGGCCCGCGGCGCTGCGCGGCCGTCGCCAGGGGCCAGTTGACAGCAATCGCCCCGCCGCTTGCTAAGAATCTTTGCTTTGCGCTCCAGAACCGTAGCGCCGCCGCCAATTCATGCACCCCCGCCCTGCTGTGCTTAAGCCAGTACTTCGCCCCTTCCTTAAGTACTGGATGTTGGCCCGGAAGGGGGCCTCCTGGCCAGAAAGTTACGATCCCGGCGGGCGACGTACTGGTAAAGTACGGGGGATACGGAATCGGCTTGAGGCGCGCCGGGCCGCTTGGAGCCATGTGACCGGGACAGGGACCGGGCACCGGAATCGGGAAGAGCGGGCTGTGCTTAGCTGGCGGGCGTGTGAAGTGGCGGGGCGCGAAACTGGCCAGGCCTAAGGGAACCTGGGTCCTCAGTACATAGCTCTGTACTGAGTGTCTCGGGCAGCTGGGGTGCGTGGTGTTCGCACCCGGTAAGGAGACGGAGGGGTTTGTTGCCAGTACTTTGTGCCGTACTGGGTGGGGGCTGTGTCCCAGTGCGTTGTGTTCTTAAGGGTGTGGAGGTGGACGCGGGGATGTATCGGGCACAGAAGCGTTGAGCTGATGCGCTCCGGCGACGCAGTGCGCGATGCACAGCGAAGGTGGGCCAGTACATTAACGGAATGGCGCACCGCAGTTTGGCTGGCAGTGGAGTACCACATCAGTCAACCAGGTCCACTGTACTGCCGACAGGTTTGATGCCTCGTGGGGCCACCACCAGGCCTGATAGCGACTAGTGATTGCCCTAAGGCAATGCCCCAATTCCTGGTTTCCAGGCGCCATTTCCGGATCAAAAGGTTCTGGCTGCCTCTTTGCCAGCTCAGTTTCCGACTCTCGCTCTGGCCCCTGCCTATCATTAGAGCAAACAAACCACTGCGATTTGCTGCGGCACCTAAAGTACTGTCCCCCCCACACGCCACTCCACCCGGGCGGAAGACTTCGGTTCAGAGTGGGCATTCGTTTCGAGACGAACAACTTTCTTGGGCCTTGCACATCCTGGCGTTTTCTTGCCAGGTGCAGCAAGCCCGGCCTCGCTTTGATCGCAGAGGGCTCGCATCTGGGCCGTTTTGCACAAACATGTTGTGATGTTATCTTTTGGTTCCAAATTATGGATCGAAAAGTCCGTGCCCATGACTGCGTTTTAAATGTGAGCTACGTGAAGGACGCCCGTACGCGCTCGTGAAAAGAATGTGGAAACGACTGAGGCACGTCCATCAGGTACAGAAGTTGCGTATCCGGCAATTCAACGCGATTCATACACGGAGTGGGCATGCGCGAAATGTTGAAGAAATTGCCAGTGGAAACTGCGTACTCGGGTGGGCGTTGACCCATTGGGTCATGCTGGTCCCTCAAGAGCACAACTTTTTGCCGTCCGTGTTGCTCATTGTTGGGGGGTTTTGAAACAACACTGCAAAATACTAAACCCTTCCGCATAGTAACGTAACGCTTGGTCATTTTTTGCGGAGAAAATAATATAAATAGCAACGCAAATATTGGCCTTTCTGTGCGGAGCAACGTAAAAAAATAGAAATAACGCTGTGAAAATCCAAATGCCGAGCAGAAAGCGTAACGGTGAAATTCTCTGATGCGGAAGGGTTTAATATTTCACAGTACTGCATTCTCCTTCCGCACTTGAAGGCTCATCAGTCGCCACCGAAGCATGGAGAATGGTCATCGCATCGCATGTATATGATATGTCAGATTTGATGCATCAGAGCGGCAATATAAAATTCATATCGAATATGGTGTATTCTGTATATCGTATTTACACGGCGATGGGAGAATTGCCCGGCCACCGTGCCACTGGTGGCACATCTCATTTTGCAAATTGCGCAACAACGCAGAGAAAGAAATTCGGTGCGCTTGCTGCTGCGAATTATGACCACAGTGTGATTTTTCTTTCATTATCTCAAAAAGGATTCTGCTAGGCCGATTTCCATTCGTCGAAATTGCGGCCAGAAGGCCACCTTTAAAAGCACAGCTCAATAATCAATTACGATTCGGATCAACAATCATCATAAATGCATTTAATCAGCTAGCAAAACTCCGCCATTTTTGGTCTCATTCTGGGTTGACTTAAGCCATCAATGCACGATTCTCTGTAGTTAATCTCTGTTCATAGTTTGAGTCCTAGACACAGTCAGAAAGCGAAATGTGCAATGCTCGGCACCGTCCCGCCGGCACATGGCGTCGCCGACGCTGCGCCGACAGCCTCGCCGCAATGGCTCGACTTTGACTTTGACTGACCGCTTGGTCGAGGCACAAGGATAGGCCAAAGCTTGCCAAGATATCAAGGCAGCATTGTGAGCACAATCGAGGCACCCAGCTGCAGGGGGGGCGGCAGGTGCTGGAAAAGTCATTTTTGTACAATTTCACTCAATGTTTTGAAGCTCTCGTGCAGCCAGTCAACGCTGACCGTCAACGCCATGGTGGTTGCATTCCCATGAGCAGCTCCTGGAGATGCGCCGCAACTGTTTACTATTTTAGATCATTCTGATGGAGGTTCGCTCTCAGCGACGAGAGCGAATATGTGCGCGGCAATGCTTCCACCCGTCTCCAGAGCACAGAAATTAGTGCGCATAAAACAAGACAATAATCAAAAATTCCTGAACATTCAATGCTGCCTATCACTGGCATCGATTACATCGATGAATAAAAGGGCATCATCAGGAGACAGGCATCCCAACATCTTTCCGTAACGATTGGGACAATACTCGTACACTAGCAAAAAATCGTCCAAAGTACACGGTCCTGCAAATCATGTAACGTGTTATGGGAGTAAAAAGTGTGTAAAAATAGTGTACCAATCGTGTACTCATCGCAAAGTAAACGGCTGGCGCTGGTACACGGTTGAAATCGTGTGAAGCCGTGTTACTTATCGTGTTGTCCATGGTGGTAAGGTGGACTACTTTCGTGTACTACACAGGGCTGAAAAGTACACGATTTACCAATCTTGTAAAATCGTGCTCCAAAGCACCCGATTCTTACACGATTTCAACACGATTTCACACGATTGCACACCGTGTCAAATGGTCGAAATTTTACCAGTGGTAATCAAATAAAGCCAATATGAAATAACGAAGCAAAATTTCGGAAATAGCTACACACTCACTGATTGCCGAGTACTTAATTGGTGATATGTAGATGTGTTCGGCGTTTCTAGACGCAGCGGGAAATGGGAGCAGTAATTTTCCCTCCTGTGGCGATGAGGCCTTTCATTCACGTCCAATGTTTTACAGGAATTGTAGCACTATTGCGTAAGGACGGTACCTGTAACATTTGCAATTTTTGTATTATCACAGTGTTGTTTATTTACATATTGGAGTCCAGGTTGCCGGCTTTCCGGTGGGTGAAGTGCCGGCAGCTCATTGTTCTCATGTGGAATTCTAGACTCTAAGAGTAGAAAGTGTTGTCAATTTTGCCAGCATTTATAAGAATTGGCACCTCTTTGGTGGTATGCAATGCTATAGCATTTATTTCTTAGTGAAACAGTATTTTCCAGTGTCAAAGTAAATGTACTTTGATGCGAATGTTGTTCAATGTTTTTTTTTTCGGCTGCTACTGGGAAGTTTCAACGAGCCAACCCAACAACAAGTCCTGCACTCCTTAACGGAGCATATGCAGCTGTCCATTAGCCACTGTCCTTTACCCATTAGATCCCTTTATGCAGTAACATTAACAAAAAAATATAATTTCGGTTAGTTTTAGTTTCAATAATGCCACTCTTCACTGATTTAGTAGTACGCCGTCTCAGCAACACCATCTTGTCCTGCTCAACTATCCCAGATGCGTTAGCTAATGTCAACAATTAAAAATGGCTTTATTGGTTCTGCCTTCTTGAGAAACAAGTATATACATTCGAAGGATTTCATTGCGTATGTTTCATTACTAATGAGAATATTGGCCAAAAATTGAAAGAAACTTCTTTCAGTGCGTAAGCAACAGAAATTTGATAAAAATAGTCACCGATATGCTGACAATGGATTGAGTTTCATCGTCTCAATTGATTGAAATATTCAGTGAAGTAGCATCTTCACATTTGTAACGGCAGTGCACGAAGCTTTTCAGTGGTTTTAAATCTTGCAATCTCAATCACTGCATTGATACCATAGAGCATTGGCAAGACAGCTGGATCTCTATGCATGTAAATTCAATAAAATGTTTAAATTCTTTGCACTTGTGTTGTAGTACAAATAATTAATGAAAATATGTCAGGCTCTTTGATTTATGTTGCGCTAAACCAATCCTATTAAACTAGTACTGGACTACTTAAATAGGACACTTGCGCACTTGGGTGCTCCAGCAATACAATGGACGGAGTTGGCGCCTTCCCGTCCAGCGGCCGCGTGCT